CAATAAATAAGGAAGACTGTAAAAGAATTAATGCTTTTGAGTTGTGGTGTTGGAGGAGAATATTGAAAGTGCCATGGGCTGCCAAAAGAACCAACAGCTCTGTGTTGGAAGAAGTGCAGTCAGAGTGCTCCTTGGAGGCCAAGATGGTCACACTTCGTCTCTCATAATTTGGACATATTGTCAGGAGGGACCAGTCACTGGAGAAGGATATCAGGTTTGGTAAGGTGGAGGGTCAGAGAAAAAGAGGAAGACCCCAATGACATGGATTGGCCAAGTGGCAGCATCAATGGTCTCAAGCGTGGCAACAATAGTGAGGTTGGCCCAGGATTGGGCAGTGTTTCATTCTGCTGTGCATAAGGTCACTATGGGTCGGTACCGACTTGATGTCACGTAACAAAAACAACAGCAAGTCCTTTGTACTCAAAGCATAAAGGAGCCCTGGTGGCATAGTGGATTACACCTTGGCTTGCTAACCTCAAGGTCAGCAGTTTGAATCCATCAGTTGCTCCCCAGGAGAAAAATGAGGCTTTCTCTTCCTGTAAAGATTTATAGTCTCGGAACCGACTAGACAGCACACAGCCATCACCACCAACCACTCAAAAGCATAGCGGAGTCCTGGTGGCACAGTGGTTAAAATGTTTGGCTACTAACCAAAAGGATGGCACTTTGAACCCGCCAGCTACAATGTAGGAGAAACATGTGGCAGTCTGTGTTTGTAAAGATTACAGCCTTGGAAACCCTGTGGATTAGGTCTATAGGGTCGTCAGGAATTGGAAACCATGGTGGCGACAGGTGTTTTGGTTTTATTCAACTTGTGGCTGCATAGAGGTCACCTGGGAGCTTGTTAGAACTGCAGTCTGTCAGAGCCAGCTCAGGCCTGCTGAAACAGAACCTGCATTCTAACAAGATTCCCAAGTGATTCAATTTTGAGATACACTGGACTTCAGAAAATAACCCACTCAGTCTGTTCCCTTTCTTAGCCTGTCATTCCACTAGAGTGAGGTGATGGAAGGGACCCTTTAGCATCATTAACAACTGGTGGATCTTTACATATTTGATGGATTGATTAGAGAAAAAGAACTTCATCACAAAATGATGAAACTTGAGTAATTCATGGGATCTGAATGTCAGGTTGAAACACCCATCATATCATCTTGATGATCTTAGTGTTTTGGTTGTTGGCAAAGAGTTCTCTCCCCTCTCCTTGCTGTATGAATAGCCCTCCGTGAAGCTCAAAGAAAATATCCTCATCAGACGATGGAAAATTATTGATCAATCAGGGTACAGAAGAGTGATTCCTAATGACTGAAATCGAGACTCCGGCTTAAATTACCATGGATACCTTCTCGCTGGCTGTGAACCAATAAAAACCAAGATTGTACATTAGCCTCAGTAACCCAATGTGTACAGTATTTTCTAAAAGTTGTTTATGAAACTGAAGTCTATTAAAATTCTTCCGTTACAGTCACCCACATGTTTCCTATTCCGTAGTGGGAAATAAGCTGACTGCAGAGAGTTGGCACTGAACGTGACTTGCCGTAGAGAAAGAGAAAGCCGTGTGCCCAGGCATCTTCCATCCTCCCTGCTCCTTTCCTACTGTTTCCAGGATTCTTACCCTCTTTCTTCTTTCTTCAGTGGTGTGGTGCTGTAGGATAAGCACTTGACTGTAAGGTCGGTGGACCAAACTCACCAGCTGCTCCTTGGAAACTCTATACAGGGTCACTGTGAGTCAGAACTGACTCGACGGCACTTAACAACAGCAACTAATAGAGCAACGTTTTGATCATTTTTTCCTTGTGATATAACAGCATTTATAAGTACAAGATTTCCATTTAACATTCCTTTAGAAAAAAACAAAGGAAATCCATATTTGTAAATTTCTCAGACTTTTTAACCAACTCCATGGGACATCTCTCTCTATTTTTTATACAAGTTAATTGAAGTATGATTTAAATGCCATGAAGTATATCTGTTTTAAGTGTCTAAATCAATACTTTGCAGCAAATTTACAGTTATTCAACCAATTCAATTTTAGAACATTTACTTCCTTTCAAATCAATATTTTTTCTCACCTATACTTATACCAGGACTCCTGGTGTGGAGCTGTAGGATAAGCACTAGATTGCTAACCACAGGTTGGCAGTTCAAACCCATCAGCTGCTTCTTAGAAACCCTATACAGGGTCGCTATGAGTCAGAACCAACTCTGCAGCACTTAACAACATACCTACATCAGTGATTGTTCCTGTTTCTTTGGAATATATAAACACTTCATTTGCCTTTATAATTTTTGGTTAGAAGAAAATTTGTGTAAATTTCACAGAAATTTGCATTAAATATAAAATTGTTGTTAAGTGTACTTGAGTTGGTTCCAACTCATAGCCACCCTCTACAGGGTTTCTGAGGAGCGGCTCACCAATAAATTTATAAATGTTAAGTCCATTTACTTGGTAACACTACACATAGAGTATAGAAATTTTAGACTTTGATGCAAAATCATTTGAGGGATATAACCTTATTCCAATTAAATCACAGAGTGAATTAGTGAGTATAAATGAAAGTCTTAGTTCATATTCTACATATGTGTTGTTTAAAAGATGATGATATCAAAACTATGTTGGTTTATAGTCAGCAATTAATTTTTTAAATCAATATCCAAAGCTTTAGGACTTTCAAGCCTTAGTAAGTTTTCGTAAGTGCTTGTTGTCCATATTACAAAATAGTAATTTTGTAGTTAAAATTTATTGTTGTTAAGTGCTGTTGAGTCGGTTCCAACTCATAGCAACCCTGTATAGAGTTTCTGAGAAGCAGCTGGTGAATTTGAACCATTGACCTTGAGGTTTAAATCAACCTCGTGGTCCAGTGCATTATCCCATAGCACCACACCAGGACTTGACACTAAATGGGAACCAAGGTCTGTTACCAGTGTCATATTTGTAACTTAAAATGAATTTAGGGTTCAGGCTGGTTTTTCTTATTCTTTTAGACCAGTATTATAGAAACAAAGAAAAATTTTTCAAAATTGTCTCCATAACAGAAGTACTTAAAGAACCAGCAGCAGGGCAGAGAAGTACGGCAGAGCAACAGGTTGTCATGAGGCTTTAACAATGCACAGGATTGTTGTAAGAGCAAAACAGTGTGTGTGAAAGTTCTTTGAAAGGTACAGAGCTCTACATAAGGGCCAAACTGTTAAGACTAATATGATTTTTTTTTTTTTTTTCCTTCTGTGTGGCACTGTAGGATAAGCACTCGAACATAAGGTCAGTTTAATCCACAAGGTCAACGGCTGAAACTCACCAGTCCCTTCTCAGAAACCTTATACAGGGTCGCGATGAGTCAAAACCGACTCGACGGCACTTAACAACAACAAAGTGGATAGGGAATGTTCTCAGAAGATGGCCTGAGTGTGGGGCTGTAGGGTAATTTACTGGGCCTTGCAAAGTCAGTTTGAACCGCAAGGTTGATGGTTCAAACCCACCAGCTGCTCCTTGGAAACCTTAGACAGGGTCACTATGAGTCGGAACCAACTCTCCGGCACTTTTACAAACTAACAACCCACCCCATGGAATACTCATTTCTGTAGGCACCCTCTCAGCCTGCCCCTTAGCATCTCCTGTCCCACCTGGAATTACTCCTTCATTCCGGGCAGTTAAGCGGTTGCAGCATTTGTAAGGTGTGCTGCTCATGAGAGTAACAGAACCTTCTCTCAGGTGAGAGTGCCTGGCTGTGGTGCCCAGCTCATGGGGACATCTCGGGAGGGCTGTGATGTTAGTTAAGGGATACTCATCCCCCAATGCTGAAGGCTTGATGTCTCTGACATTCTGGTCTCTGCCTGATACCCCATCATAATAATGAATAGACCTCCCTTTCCCATTTGAAAGTGTCCTGATTTCGGATGTTAATTCATAGGAGCGCTCTCATTGTATATGTGAGTTTTAGTTTTTTGTTATCATTCAAAAGTTTTTCCACTTTCCCAAACCTGCACTACTTCTCCAGCTGAAATTGAGATGCTCTGGTGGTAACAGCTCTTCTTAATAGAGGTGACCCTAAGTCCAGTCTTTTTAGAATCCTCTTGTGGTATTGTGGGCTAAAGCACTGGACCACAGGTTGGTTTGAACTAAAAGGCTGACAGTTCAAATTCACCAGCCGCTCTTTGGAAAGCCTTTACAGGATCACTGTGAATCATAACTGACTCAGTGGCACTTAACAACAACTAATAGAGCAACATTTTGATGTTGTTGTTTTTTTCCTTTTGATAGAATAGGATTTATTAGTGCAAGATTTTCATTTAACGTTCCTTAAGAAAAAATGAAAGAAATCCATATTTTGGTAAATTTTGTAAGATTTTTTTTTTAATCTATCATTTGAAATTAAGAGTTGATGTTTACTAAGCATTGCCTTTTTGATAGCCCAGACAAATAATTTAAAAATTCTTACAGTGTATTCACAGAGATGTGAAACCTGAAAATATTCTCATAACTAAGCAAGGAATAACCAAGATCTGTGACTTTGGATTTGCACGAATTCTGAGTAAGTAGCAATTTCTTACTTTACCTTAATTCAATTTAGATGATTATCAAGTGCTACCTTTTGAATTTTTACTTTCATTAATAGCTGTATACTAATTGTTAAACTATTATTCTTCAGAATGGAAACCCTTACTTTAACCTCTTAATGCATTACTTTTCACTTCAACTCCACTCCCTTCAATCAGAATTTATTGGAACCATTTATCATTTATGTGACTATAAGCTTTGTCCTGCTAGAAGAGGAAAAGAATTATAACATGTATTTCTGCTCTTGGTGTACTTGTAATGATCTGAAGTACAAGAAACAAATGATAATGTAAGCTCATTGGGAATAAAGTACTCAAGCTAAGGTGCAGACAGTTCCCTGGAGGGAGATATTAATGTGGGCTAGAGTGGTTGGAAAAATGTCTTGGAGCTGATAAGACTAGAGGAGTAAACTGAAAATTTAAGGGACTTGAGAGGAGAAATCATCACAGGGAGGATGAACTGAAGGGAAAATGGGGATAAATAATCATTTCTTTTCTTCCTGGATCTAAAACTTTGCAACAGGCAAACACATGTATGCTCAATATATATATGTATTGCAATATTGTTATTTGCTGTGGAGTCAGTTCTGACTCAGAACGACCTTATATAGGGTTTCTGAGGCTATAAATCTTTATGGGAGCAGAAAGCCTCATCTTTCTCCCGCGCAACAGCTGGTAGTTTCAAACTGCTGACCCCGAGGTTAGCAGCCCAATTCTCAACCACTATGCTACCAGAGCTCCTTATGCATTGCAGTGGTGGTATGTATTTACTCAGAGTCCCAATATCACCCAAGCACAGTGCCATGAAAAGCACTTGGAACCACTGGGCAAAACAAAAACTGATTAAGAGTTTCTGAAGTTCCTGTTCTTTGTGATGTAAAATGATAATAAGATCATAATGATAATTGTTCCCTTTGTCATACGGCTGACAAGAGACTAGAACAAACACTGAAGGACAATTGAACAAATAACAGGACATCCACAGCATAAAAGCAACCCTGATGGCACAGTGGGTTAAACGGTGGGCCGCTAAGTGAAAGATTGGTGGTTCAAGCACACTATCCACTCTGTGGGGGAAGAATTAGGCAGTCTGCCGTGAGTCAGGATTTTCTTTTGTTTTCCATCATCACATGTTAGGTAGCCGCCAAAAGTGATGTTTAACAGTTTTCAGTGACTTGGGAAATGTTTAAAACATTTTAAGGGGGAAAGGGAAGCTTAAATTATGCATACAGCCTGACTGTACAAGAAATGCATGGAAAACATTGCTAGAATGCAGATAGGAGACAATTAGATAATTGTTATTTAGTACTTCCTGTAGATGCAATGTAGGAGCTCTGGTAGTGTAGTGGTTACGAATCGGGCTGCGAACCGCAAGGTCAGCAGTTCGAAACTACCAGCTGCTCTGCGGGAGAAAGATGAGGCTTTCTGCTCCCGTAAAGATTTACATCCTCGGAAACCCAGTACAGGGTCACTATGAGTCGGAACTGACTCCATGGCATGCAGCCACCATAGATGCAATATAGTCATTGTTTTTCCCTGGAAATTTATTTTATGCTACCAAAAATACTCAATTTGGTCATCAAAATCTCTCTAAAAGCCACACATAAATGTCATTACAAACATTAAGAACATCAAAGAAACATTTAATATAAAAAAGCTACCTCACATATGTCCCTCTTGGGGATTTTTCTTTGTGTGAAGTCTTCTAAAACTGACAGTGCTTTTGAAAATATAAATCAATTAAAATTCCCCATGAATATCCATTCTTGCTAAGTTCCTCTGTGGGAAACCTAGTCTTTCTTCTCTAAATGAGAACCTTAGAACTGAGTTAGAAACAATTGTTATGTCTCAGAAACTCTCATTGCATGAAGTCTTCCAATAGTCACTTTGTGGTCAGCCCATTAGATAGCTTCAGTAATGATATCTTCTGCTATGATACATGTTTTTATAAACAAAGTTGTAGTCTAAGACAAGGCCTTTGGTGGCACAGTGGGTAAGCACTGGACTGCTAATCAAAGGTTGGTGGTTTAACCAGCAGCTCCATGGGAGAAAGATCTGACAGTCTTTATAGGAGTGGCTTACCAGGTCTTTTCTCCCTCCTCCCAGTAGAGATTGTTGTTGTTGTTGCGTGC